GCCGTACCAAAGTTCATGGCACGAATGGTCGTCGTCTTGGCGCACTCAGTGATAAGGTGTTTCCCCATTTTCCCCACAGAATCTGCATAACGTGGTATACTGATGCTTCCGAAACCAAAGTTGAGACAGAACTATATACTCCGAACTAATGGGCACCTCCACCAGCATCCTTCAGGCATAAATATACAATATCGAACGATGCGTACAATTTATCTTGGATAGGAACTATCGAAAACAGGACATCTTATCCGATAATCAACCTGCACTAAAAGAGATCAACTCAGTAACCATCAATTCGAAGTTGGTCAAAGAATGCTTAGAGCAGCTGAACAAATTAAGCGAAGAAAAAAAAGAAATCCTTCCAAAGCAAAGAAATCCTTCTACTCAGGGTGCAAGCTCACCAAGAGATAGAGGGCAATGAAAACGATCTAGATAGAAAAGGAGCGAACACTCCACTAACTGGACCATAACCGTGGAAACCAATTTAAAGCGGAACTCAAAAACATGGAAGAATTCATCCGTAACTGGGAATAGAAAGCCTCCAATGGTCTAAAACATTCCAAAAAAACTCTCAGAAATTACGTAAAAACAATCTTCGGATTGTCACGGGGTTTTTAACAGAACACTGTCTCCTCGATGAACACATCAGTAGATTGAAGCTAAGAAACAAAGACGAATGTAGATTCTGTGCGAAGAATGGGGAAACACCAGAACACCTCATCACTGAGTCCGCTGGGACGACAACCATTCGTGCTATAAACTTTAGTGCGGCTGATGCCTCAGATACTGGTTTTTGTCAAAGCCCTGAGAGGGTATGATGAGTTATAACTCGTTATAACTCAAGAAAGGGCGACAGAATAGTTCTGTAAGGTCCCGGTCGGGGGCGGTGATTAACCAAAATAATAGTAATTTATGTAATGATTGCCAAAAATATGTAAAAGAAGAATACCCTTAGAGAATTATTATAGTTGGTTAAACTAATTTTTTGTCAAAAAGAAATTTAATAGAAATATATTTTTTGGTTTATTAAAATTTTTAATTTCACCACAAAATTTGATTTTTTGTTGTTCAAAAGACAATATGTAAAAACTGATAAAATAATCGTTTGATAATGTCTGTAAAACAATAATTATTATAAATTTTATAAATGTAAACTCGGAATGAATACTTCTTTGGTTTAATCCACCTAATGTTATTTACACTTAATATATTTTTTCAAATGTTGATGTTTATAAAATATTTGTATAAATTTTATGAATGCGAACTAATATATTTTTTACATTACTCGTATATACAGGGGTTCGAACTGTATTCCGGAAACTTCGGCAGCATATTCTGCAGATAAAAATAGGTAAAAACGGGCCTCATGGGCTGTATCTGTTTCTGTTCCGCACTGCTGCCGCAGTTTCCGGAATACAGTTCGGACCATCCTGTACATATGCATTATAGTTTGTCCGACGAGAAGCCACATAACAGTGACAGTTGTGTCTGTTATTTTAACATTTTCTATCATACCTATATCATATTTCATTCTGGTAAATGTATTTTTATTTTAACATGACAAAATGGTGAATGATATTTCTCATTATTTGAAAAAATATAATTCTTTAGCCAGGGATAGTAAATATTATATTCAATATTAATTACAGTTGAAGTGTGGTTGAAGGTTGGAACGTTTGGTGTTTCAACAGCAAAATAAAACGTTAATTCACCACAATACACCAAAACATTTTACACTTTGCACTCGATGCGCGTTTCGCTAGCCATGTTAGCATCATCAGCAGATGATTAAAACTAATAGTATAATATATATTTCATATCAATTCAATGACTTAAGAATACAAGATACAAGGACATGTAACGCCCATACACGGGCTGCAGCAGAATTTGTGACCTTAGACGCTATTTTTTTTGGACATGACGAATGAGTCATCAGCTGGCCATCAGCAACAATTTTAGCGATTTTTAATATTTGGTTGTGTGTAGTGAACTTTGTATAAACTTTATTACAATGGTAATTTGTTCAGCTTTCAAGTGTAAAAGGCGCAATGATAAGAAAGAGCCAGGAGTTACGTTTTATAGGGAAATAAACAGTCCACTACACCTTTTTCGCGTTTTTTTATTGAATTCGATAATTATTCTTCTAATATTATATGTACTTAATATGTGCTATATGTCGATACTAGTTTTGTACTTTTTGTTAACATTTTAATACGTTTTTTTCGTAATTAATTAGTATGATACCACCAGATACATCATAGGCGTAGTGAAAACATTTATCAAAAATATAAATATTTATGTTAACAAAAATATGTGCCACGGCACTGTTTGTAAGAATGATCACAGTTTGGTCTCGGGTGCTATTTATCCTTGTATTCTTTAGTCATTGTATCAATTAAACTTTTATTTCGGTAATCGAGGACGCGATTTTTAAATTCATTGTTGCCAACCATGAACATATTCGGCGCCGTACTAACTAACTGGAATTTAAATTTTCGCACTGGGGATTCAGGTGGTAGCTCTGCTGTAAAAAAATGTCAAGTTGCCACATTTTTTTATTTATTTCCTGACATGTGTTTCCTGTAATTTGTTTTCACATTTTAGTTTGGTATTATTATGAGTTTTGTGTTGTGATACTATAAGCTTATAAATGTTTACTAGCAGACCTTGCAGTCGAACATTGTTCTTTTAGAACCTCTCTCTTTTAGTGCGAAGTGTACAAGATAGTTTAATAGCAGTAAAAAATCATCGGAACTTTATTAGGATATTTTAAACGGGAAAGCGGTAATAATGGCCCTTTATGTCCCTTAAGGCTGTTAAGAAGGTGAGTTTTGTAAATAATTACTGTTTATGTATTTATAAGTAATTTATTTCTATTTTTAAAATATTTTGATTAAAAGAATTTATATAAAAGTGGGCAACGCTGTGCCAGTCAATAATCACGCGACTAAAAGTTTATTTGATATGAACTATACAGGGTGCTACAAATTCGAGGTACGAGCATTGGTATCTCGGAAACCGTAATAGATACGAAGATGGTTAAATTGGGACAAAGTTGCGCCTTGGGATGTTTACCAAGATGCCATCAATAAAGTTTTAAAAATTTCAAGGCTTGCTGAGTTTTTTGGAAAAAAGCAATTTTTTTGAAAATCAATTTTATTTTTCCTATCGTTACTTTTTACAAAAACAAATTTCTAATTACTAGTCTTATAGCCACTTTATTAGGGCTATCTGGTAGTATTTTTAGATTTTCAAATTAGCTGATAATTTGTGAGATACAGAGCCCAATTTATTTTTTTTTAAATACGGACCTGCATTTTTATTTCAGATTTTGAACGAACTCGGTCTCCTGAGTACAATGATATGCCACACTTTATACTTTTTTTTGTTTTGTGTACCTTACCAACAACAAAACTATTTATTTAAAATAATTTCAAGTCCGACTCTGGTTTTTTAAATTATTCAATCTGATTACATATATTCATCGTAACAATATTGATCAGCGCTAATTAACATTGAATAAGAAAAATTGTTACAATTAAAAAAATCAAATAAATAATATCCAGGTTAGTAATTTAAAGATATTATAATTTATTTCTTTAATGTGAATTTGAAATTTCAGTGTACGGACTAATAATATGCATAATATTATTCGTAGTTATTATAAATAAATCAACTTCTACAAACTAGTTTCTAATGCTCTACATGTTCGAAAGAGTTACCACCCTCCTTACTTCCTATTGCACAAATTTATTATTCGTTCAATTTTATTTATAGCTCTTTGAACATATCTTCTTCTTATACTTCCGAATGCATTTTGTACTCTTTATTGTAAATGTTGAAAAATATTGATTTCACTTTTACAAATGACTGATGTTACCAGATTTTTTATTGCATTTGATTTTCCGTATTCAATATTTTACCCCACGTCATTGATAAGTTTGAAGGCTTATCAATATTGTAAGGATAAATAGATTAAATATTTAAGAAGCAAAACCGGACTTGAAATTAGTTTAAATAAATTGTGTTCAAATGCCCGAAACAAAAAAAAAGTATAAAGTGTGGCATATCATTGTCTTCAGCAGACTGAGTTCTATCAAAAACTGAAATAAAACGTACAGGTTCATATTGAAAACAAATAAGTCGGCCTCTGTATCTCACAAATTATCAACTAATGTAAAAATCTAAAAATACTATCAGATAGCCCTAATAAAGTGGCTAGGAGAATGTGCAATTAGTTTTTTAATTTTCTAAAAAGTAAGAACAGGAAAAAATAGAATTGATTTTCAAAAAAATCCGTTTTTTTCCAAAAAACTCAGCAATCCTTAAAATGTTTAAAACTTTTTTGATAGCATCTTGGTGAATATATAATAAAGTGCAACTTTACCCCAATTTAACCATGTTCGTATCTATTACGGTTTCCGAGATACCAATGCTCGAACCTCGAATTTGTAGCACCCTGTATATACCGTATGAACGAATAAAAACGGCGTCAGCGATTGCTATGAAACGAAGATCGCTGTCATTTTATATGGGAAATGTCATCGATCGTCATTTCCAAACCAACTGGACGCCGTTTTTATTCGATCATACGGTACATAATAATTATAGTCTATCCGACGAGAGAACACACACAGTGACAGTTGTATTTCTTATTATATTATATTTTTTTAACAACCATTTTGTCTCATATTTGACTCATGTGACTTAAATATATTTTTATTTTAACATGACAAGATGGTGAATGAAATTTCTCATTATATGAAAAAATATTATTCCATAGCTAGGGGAAGGCTCGGAGTAATAAATATTATATTCAGTATTACTGCACAAAAATAAAACTCAAAAATTAAAAAAATACAAAATATTTATTAATAAAAAATGTCGAATATCAAAACATTAATTGTTAATACTTAAATCTACAACTGAAGGAACATAATAAAAGATTATCTTATTTTTTACAAAAAAAAATCACTAATTAAAAACAATAAACACTCACTATAAGTTTGTAATTGTAACTTTATAAAAATACAAAATGGAAACATGCTAAAAATGCCTTAACATAATCATTATAAAATTAGAATTTAGAATTCTTGATACAAGAGGGTATTTGTAATAAATAAATAAATATATAAATATATTAACAGCCTTTTTCTTTTTTCTTGATTTTGAGGAAGCTCCGTTTTATTTGTTTCGTTCTATGAGACCTCCATTTTCCATCATTTCTTCTTCTTTGTCTATGATCTTTAATCTAATGTCAGGACACATGGCGCGTCTACAATAAACAGGTAATGGCAGGTCCTGTAAAGAAAAATAACTATTATTAAACATATAAGAAAATGGCTTGATAGTAATAGTTATGCGTAAAAACAACTGTTAATAACCATGCGAATAGGTTATACTGGAATTACAACCCCCTAGAAAAAAATATTCTATAAGATTCGTGAATTCTAAACGTAGTGATATTTCACAGAAAAAAAAATATATTTTTGATTCTTTTTTCTGTTTTATATTTTCATTTGTACTTAAAAGCTCCCCTCTCAAAATATTCAATATTAACTATATTTTTTTGAATATAATATGTATGTACATCTAGTAGAGAGTACATAAGAGCATATTAATTTAATTTGTACCTCTCAGTGTAGACAACCAGCAATTCAAAATTTAAAAAAAATATGTATAAGTGGATGTCAATAAATCATAAATGATTATTTAATAAATAGTTATTATTTAATTTTCTTTGTAAAGAGAATTAACATAGTTACTAAGTAGAAAATACTAAATAATAAATACTAAATGATAAATGAATAATAATACCGACATTTTTATATATCATTATTAGATGTTGGTACCACATAGGTTGGTACCCACGCAGATAGATAGTACCAACCTGGTACCAACTAAATGCTGAAAATGACAGCAAGAAATTCAATAATACGCGTCAAAGACTGTTTTAAAATTCATTTATCAGTTTTCTTTCACTTTTGTTCACAAAAATGCATAAATTTTTAGAAAAAATGTAAGTAGAACTTAAAATCAAAATTTAAGTACCTTAAAATCAAAGAATATGGACAAAAATCACTTGGGAGTACTTAAGTGAAAACCAGCTGTTTTCAGATTTTTAAACCGATATTAATACGTATTATTACGTTTTAAAAAATGCTGTGATTATTTTAGACACTATTTCTTATTTTAACCTTTTAAATGTATTAAAATTAATATAGAAAATATTAAAATTATAGTACTTTTTTAAAAGGTATTCAAGTTAATTCAGTGTTATTTGACAACATTGCAAGAATAATTTCAGATTCAGATGGTACGACATAAAAACAATGGTACGACTGGTACGGTACGACCACACCCAAACCTGCGCAATGTCAGGGAATCACAAAATTCCGGCATAACCTATTCACAAGTGGGATTCGTACCATACTTATCCTTTTAGCGGTCTTCTTTTTCTTGCATATGAAGTAAAATCCTATTGTAAAAGTAATCAATAGGATTGAAGCTATGATTGCTTGTCCAGCCCTGGACATGGAAAGGAATCCAGTCCACAGATCGTACGATTTATCCATTAGAAGTTTGATGAAGGTACCGCCAGCCAATTTTAATAATTGAGATGCGAACTTCATCATGTCTCGCAGCAAACTGATTTGTGTTACGACATGTCTTGACCTTTTAGCGGTGTTCTTATCGCTCTTATCCGTAGAGAAAGATCTCTTCTTATCGCAAACAGCGGAAGATTACCGTGTTGCCAAATTGGTTAGAGAAAATTTCATTAAAAATATTAAAATATTTGTAGAAATTAAAAATTGTGTTTTTTTCTTTATTTATAATAAAGTGTTATCTATATTTGTAAAAAATAAAAAATACTTCATAATAAATTTCGAAAATTCGAGAATAAAACCAGAAAGTTTTAGGCAAAAAATATTTTTTATACATCACACAAAACTGTTTAGCAGTCTATACTTTCAAACGGAAGATATTTTATAGGAAAAATACAGTATATTTGATCTTTTTAGAATTACTTCGTCGTTTTTTATTTAGTCATTAAAAAAATAATTTGTTATTTTATAGCAAAATAAATATAGTTACCCAATTAAAAGTAAAATTACCCAATTTTACTCACATTTAAACGAATTTAATAGGTTTAATCAGTTTTATTGACAATTAAATTAGATTAAAAATACTAACAAAAATTCTTACACCTTACGAAAAATCGGACGATCCGGCAACAATGTAACAATTAAGGAAGAGATGCCCACACATCAAGACCTAAACAAGTTCTAGCATGTTTTAATGAAGAAAGCTTAATTTAAGTATTGGTATAAAGAGTTGCATACCTTAAAACATGCATTTCACTTTTATTATCTCATATCGTATTTAAAACATTAACTGCTTTTTAAATATAATAGGGTATCTACTATATACAGTAATTTCGAAAAAAAACGGCGTCAGCGATGGCTATGAAATAAAGATCGCTGTCGTTTTATATCTAAAATTATACGGGGAATGTCATCGATCGTCATTTCCATACAAACTGGGCGCCGTTTCTTTTAGACCATACGGTATTATATACTAATTTTTGACGACAGTTTACAGTTTACAGTAGTTTGAGTGGATAATGGATTAGTGGTTAAATTTCCATTTAATTTAACCTCTTAGAAAATATTAGTAGTAAATGTATGTTCCTTCGCCATCTTGTCAATATTCTATTTTTCGTATAAATTATTGTGTTTATGAAACCCTTCACAATAAATTATAATACTCCTTTATCTATGATTATAACAATGTAATGTGTTGGTCCATCAATGGTTAATACATTAAATAACTTTTCAAAATTGCGGTATATTCAAGTGCCTTAAATGACCAGAGGTCTGTCATTCAGATGCGATGTCCGTCCTGAGGATTGATTCGTCAAAATGTCCAAATATCCGTCAATTGAATTCAATCAATTCAAAATTATGCTACCTTAAAAAAATTAACAAGTGGTAACAAAATTATACTGAAATACATATGCTTAGAACGGGGGGAGGTTTTTCTTTGAAATGTATTTCCTACTTTATTATACAAAAAATTATTGAATTTTGGTTGTTTTTCAGGAACCAATGCTCTTACAGAAAGGGTATTTAGTATTTACAGTAGTCATTAAGTTGTATACATGTACAGAAAAGATACAATTATATTGTATTTCTATTTCTACAATCTTTAAAATGTCTGGTAATTGAAAATTCAGTATGAACGGTGTCCGGTATATAAAAAAATTACATAATGCGTCAGTACTATCATTATCTATACTATTCATGAAAAATGTTGGTTGACTCAGAATCTGGTCACTTTATAGCTAATAGATTAGTTTGTGCTAATAGCTATATCTGTAGGTGTCTGTAGTTATATCTATTCTCTTACTAAATGGCGAATGCGCCGGGAAAAGAAGTAGGAATATTTTATAATTTTCATTTATGCGCAAATTATTTAAAATTATGTAGACTTTGAATTTGAATACTTATATTATATTATGTTATTAACATTTCTTTTTATATTATACAGATTATCTGAAAATGTAACACTTAAGTCTAGAATTTAAGTATGGAATATTATATTTTATTTATACTAGGCAGGAGGTCAATATCTAAAAGTTATATTTCCGTGTTTACCATATTTTATTTTTTCCAAAAAGAATTGTATTTTTTTTTAGTTACTACATATGAATGTTATTTTATTTCGTCTATTTTAATAAAACTTTTTTTTTGATATATGTAACTTGCCATTTTTAGATTAGATTTCTCATTCTGACGGTTAATTCCGGGTTCCCGGTATTATAAGTTCTTATCCCGGGATTTCAAAACGGGACCCTGATCCCGAAAATTTGAAAGCTAGTTACAACTGACATATCGAGTGGGTCTCAAAAGTGGCTCGCCCCTATAACTTTTTTTATTTTTTTACATAGAAACGAGATTTGCCACCAATCATATCGTTTCTAAGGCAACTGGAGAAACAGCGTTAAAGTTGGCTTAGAATTAAAGATCGCTGTCATATTACATAAAAATATTATGGTAACTGTTATCCTTCTGTTATCGATCGCCATTTCAAAGCCAACTTTGATGCCGCGTTTTGTCCTATATCGGGTGCGTCTCAAAAGTGGCTCATCCATATCACTTTTTTATTTTTACATATAAAAAAAAGGAGATTTGGTATGTTAGTAACTATATAACATAAATTAGGATTGATTGACGTATTCAATTGCTTTTGGTCACTTCCTGTTTCACCGAAAATGACTATAACTTTTGATTTTTAAATGGCACTCTCGGTATTTTTTTTACTTTATTCGATAGAAAATGACACTCTGAATAGAATGACATATCATATGTCAACTTTTGACATTTTCGCTAAAAAAACCGTATTTTAAATTTCAATCTAGAGCCGTCATATATAAATATATAAATCAGTTATTCATAACGTTCTTCGCCGTCTTCTGATTTCCAGTCTCCATTGGTCTCTGTCTGTCCAGAAGTTTTCGCCTATTCTTCATGTTCTGATGTCCCCATCTCTTCCTTCTCTCCAACTCCGTCTAGGTCTCCCGCTCTTTCGTTTGCCTTGTGGTGTCCAATTGAGTATTTTCTTCGGGATTCTGCTCTCTTCCATTCTTTGTACGTGCCCGTAACACCTGAGTTGGTTAATTTTGATGTCTTTGATTTACTCTATCCAGTTTCGATTTCCCGGCCGCGGGTCTCCAAAATTCCATTTCTGTAGCTTCGAGCAACTTAAGGTTTCTTTCTTTCAAAGGCCATACTTCACTACCATAACTAATGATGCTTTTAACTATGCTGTTATAAATTTTGTGTTTGTTTTTTGTTTTGATACGGCCTTATCCCATAAAATACTGTTGAGTTGTCTAATTGCTTGTCTTCCCTGATTGTTTCTGCACTTAATTTCTTCATCAAGGCTACCATCGTTGGTAATGTGCATGCCAAGATATTTACATTTTTGGCGTATTTTATCTCTTGCTGTTGCTGTTGGATTAAGTTCTGTTGTTCGCCACCGATACACATATATTCCGTCTTCTTATGGTTTACCTCCAGCCCCCACTTGTTATACTCTTCAATTAGTTTGAGGGTCATATATTCCAGGTCCTCGTAGTCTTGAGCTTGAGCCAGTATTATTTGATCATCAGCGAAACAGAGAGTGTAAAGTATTGAGTCGTTTAGTGGTATCCCCATCTGTTCGCACTTCCTTTTCCATGTTTTCAGAGCTTGTTCCAAATAGATTTTAAACAGTGTGGGGGATAGACAGTAGCCCTGTTTAAGACCTTTGTTTATGCTGAATCCCTTTGATACTGTTTGTCCTTTCTTTACTTGGCTAGTGTTGTTCTTATATAGTTCTTGGACAGCATTAATTAATGTTATGCTGATATTCATTTTTTCGATGGCTTCCCACAAATCCCACAATTTAGACTGGGATAGACTATCATATGTTTTCTTGAGGTCTACGTAGAGGAGATGTATTTCTTGATTTCTTGCCATCTAGAGTGCCATGGCTGTGTTAAAAAACTAATTTTTAATGAAAGAGCCTTGGAAAAATAGATTTTATCGTCTAATTTATTTAGTGTCGTTTCCTGGTCGGTTAAAAGATACCCAAATCGTATCTTTAATCATATCTCAGTTGTTTCAAACGGAACGTGGGTGGCTCATTACCATATATTTGGAAAAAACTTTTTTTACGAATAATTTGGTACCACACACTTGGTATTTCTAGTCAAATTGTCGTTATGAACCGCATGTTACAATTTCAAATAAACCATATGAGAAAATGTCAAAGTTGGCATATGATATGTCATTCTATTCGGAGTGTCATTTTCCATCGAATAAAGTAAAAAAAAAGCCGATGGTGCCATTTAAAAATCAAGAGTTGTAGTAATTTCCAATAAATACACAATACGTCACTCAATCCTAATTTATGTCATATAATAATATACAAAATCTCGTTTTTTATCTGAAAAAATAAAAATGTTATAGGGGTGAGCTACTTTTGAGACGCACCCGGTATACGGTATATTCATTGTTCATTGTGATGCATCTAAAATGTAAATATATACTCAAATCGTTCAGTTTTGGGTGCAGAACTTTTGATAATATAAAAAATACAGAATACATAATACAAGGGTAAAACTTTGGTATTTTCTAGTATGCTATCATCTCTCAGGTTGATTCTCAGGAGGGTCATTCTAGCAAATCTAGGTACGACTATATACCAAGTGTTTTTCGCAATGTCTCGGTATCGGTCTTTATAGTACACCGTCAAGACGTCGCCGAGGTACGACCTTACTAAAGGATACAGGGGCGTCGCTGATACCAAATATGGTAGTACGAAAGTGTTTTTAATCTCGAATGTGGGTTGACCATATGGTCAGGAGATCTGCTGGTAAACGCCATGGATATTAAAAGTCATAGATAGAGTACCAAAATCTATAAAAATACTTCTTGCGATTGGATGTGACGCGCTGATCTCATTAACATGAGCTTACCTGTATATAGTTCATATCAAATAAACTTTTAGTCACGTGATTAATCGATCAAGCTTTTAACCTTGACCGGCACAGCGTTGCCCACTTTTACATATTTTCTTTTTATCAAAATATTTTAGGAAACCAAAATAACTTCGTTATAACTATATAACAAACAGACAAAATTCAACCTCCTTAACAGCACTTAAGAGATATAAAGGGCCATTACTACCGTTTTCCCGTTCAAAATATTCTAATAAAGTTTTAATGAGTTTTTGCGGCTATTAAGCTATATTGTACACTTCGCACTATCTAA